AGTGCTGTAGTCTGACCTTGAACATGTAACAGATACCTGGACATGAACCTAAGACCTGCAGAAATCCAAGGACGAGACAGCCCATTAATCCAGAGATGTTGTTTCTGATGAGGTGCATGTGGAAATATAAATGGGCTGTTTAATCTGCTGGGATTTTTAGTACAACAAGAAGGTTTGTGGTTTCAGTTTCATGTAGAACATTGTTTTGGCAGGAACCGCTTTCAAAAGGGATGTGCACATACAGAAAACACATGTTCGTTCTCGTCGGGGTTGCCTGAGTCTGTCTTGGGAAGATGATCTAAATGGGAGTTGACAGAAGAAGCTCTTTTTTCACCGAGACAATCGTGAAGGGTTTCCCACCCATGCTTTCAGAACCGAGACTCAGTCCAGCACGCACGTCCCAGAAAAACAACTTAAGAACCTTCAGCGACTGTGTTGTGGGCCCTAAGACTTTGTCAGTTTGGATAACCTAGATCCATCAATCAAGCCGTTTCACAGCTACACCAACGGCTGAGACGTGGACTATATGAAAAATGATGGTTTGTGTCATTCAAATGGGCTGTGAAAGGAATCGTTACGTAATACAGGCTCGATCAGATCTGGCCTCGAGCCCCGATAGTCAGGGTCACTAACAGCTAAAGATATAACTGTTCACCCCAGTCCAAGCGACTTTCTGTCAAAGCTTCCTCGAGGCCGCAATCGTGTTCAACTACATCCGACGACTTCGGTGACAAAAGTGACGATTTACAGTCTTCGAGAATGAGACACAAACTTCACTGGGCTTCGTCCTCTTTCTTTAACACCTCCTGGTGACTTTTTAAATTCATCGTCGGTTCGCCTTTTGCCTTTATTCTCAAACTGTGTTCTACTCTCTCTCTCTCTATCTGTCAAACGCACAAAGTCTGCTGATGTCGAGTGCGCTTCAGGGAGGAACACATCTGTCAAGGAGTGGATGCCAGCACTGCAGCGTGTGAACCGAGGACGCAGGGTTTGATGTTCGCATGGAGACTCCTTACCGCATTCACACACACACAATACTCACCTAAAATCAGAAAGCACCGACTGAGGTGGCTGCATCAAAAAGACAAGACATCAGAACTTGTTGCTCTTCTCAGGTTTCTGTTATTGTAGAAACCTGACCGTGATTAGACTATTGATCAGACAAAATCTTCAGTTACAGGAAGTAAGTGTCATGCTGTCGTACCAATCTGCGACATTTAGTTACCCATTAATGGTTTGTAAAGGCCAACAGAGCTTAAAAGCGAAATCACCCAAACTGCTCCTCGTCCCCTTCGCCTCAGCGTAACTCGGTTTAGCTGTTGTTTGATGTGCGATGCTGTATGAAAGGCTCAGACCCTGACAAGAAGCACCGAGGGGACCATATGTAGCGTCTTGTCACCGGTTGGAGGTTTGTCTGTAGGTGGCCAGCTGCAGGTGTCATCACGGACTGCGACTCAAGCTGCTCTCTCGTTTCTCCTGAGCGACCTGTCACTCGTCTGCAGCCGGGCGCCAGGCGGGGGCTCAGGATGACAGACCGGATACAACTTTCAGCCGCATTACATCAGCAGCAGGGTTGTTTCACACACAGAGAGGAGAAAAGGGAGGTTCGAGCGCACCAGGTGGCGAGAAAAGATTGGACACTGAATCCAACACGGACAGGAAGCCAGTTCCAAGTTACCCTCATATTAGTAGTGCTTTTAAACAACAAAGGTTCACCAAACTGAAACAGAAGCTTTATGTTTTATTGATATTTCTGAGCCAGGGCCTCTACCTGAGGAGGACGGTAGAGGACGGAAGTGTAAAATGCCCCCTGGGTTGTGTCATTCTTCCTCAAGCCTCTGGCCATGTGTCCTGTTTTGTGACGGCTTCATGTTGGAGTGAGTCTCCCGAGTCCATGCGTGAAGAGCCTTGAGCGCGACGCTGCCCCCTGAGTGACCGCTGTGTCCTTATAGCCTTTCCCTTCTTTACAAACAGCCAACATAATGGAACTGCTGTGTATCGGGGCCTTTAACATGCTGTAAATATTTTTTTGGGGGGGAGGTATCGGAAAAGACAGCAGGAGTGGCATGCAGCAAACGGTCCAGGATTCAAACCAGGGATAAGGCTTCAGAAAGCATCCTAAGCACCTGACCATGGAGTCACTCATGTGGACTTAGTGACCGTGACGTTATCGTCGGTTTGTGGACGTCTGACTCACCAGACTTCAGAGATAAGCCTGCCAATGCCTCTGCACAGTTCATGCGGCTTTTTCTTCCTTTCCCTTCCACTATCTGCTCATAACCCCTTCACGACTGACAAACAACGACTACCTCCGAGCTCGCAACCTACACGCTGAAACTGTCAAATTTGCTGAAAATTTAGATCACGCTGAAAGGCATCCTAGCACCAGCTTACCTACATGTAAATATTCTACCAAAACAGCTCCCCTGTCACGCCATCACTTGGGTAATCAGCTACAAACAGCTCATCCATCCATTTATTTTCTTACACTTAAGGCTAAGCAGGACATTCCAGGAGTCCCTTTACCTAGCAACGCTTTCCAGTTCCTCCTGGGGGGTCCAAAGGTGAAAATGAGTGAAGCAAGCAGAACCATGTCATCCGCAAAAAGATGAGGTGCAATTTCAAAAAAGTTCGCAAAGTTTTTTCTCTTTTTGTTTTACTCTAAATGGGACTGTAATTTCCAAAATAGACATGATGGCGATTGAAAAAGACTTAAAACTATAGGGATTGGGACTGTAAACTCATTAGGAAATTGTTTACTGAGGTAGTAAATCTAGTGAGAATTAGGGTCATTTTCTCATAGTCTTCTATACAACTGGACTTTCTATGGAACCAGAGGAGTCGCCCCCTGCTGGCCATTAGAAACAATGCAGGTTGAAGGCGCTTGATTGTTTGCTTTAGTTTCAAAACCAGGGGCTATGTCTTTAAAAAAAGTTTGCCACTTATACCCTGTTCAAAGGTTTACCCTGCTGTACATTTTAATAAAATTGATCCCTTTTGCACTAAGTTGTTGATAAAAAAAAAAAAGAAAGGAAAGATAAAGCTTCGCAGCAGCTAGAGGAGTAAATGAGTCCCACTGTATTATGCATCCATGGTGTCGGTTTTCTCGTCTAACTCTTGGCAAAAAGAAAAAAAAAGAAGAAGAAATGGAATATCTTATGTGATAAAACATAATTAATCTCTATGCGGTGCCTGTGCATGCACAAGATCCTATTACGAGCGAGCTGTTTGGGCATTAAACGAACATGTTTCGGGCTTGTTTGCTTTGTTGGTAACAAGATGTTCTCATGGTGTTTAAATGGAGACAAGTCAAAAAATTTCAAGCAGAAGCATGTCCATAAATTCCCACAAGAAGCCATTTAGGAGGAAAATTAAATCTCCATCCTCATTGTGCTGCCACCAGACTTAACGACTGAAAACTAGAATTTAATAGGTATAATGCGTCTTCAGTTATTTGATGGCTTAATTCTTGCCATTTCATGCCGAGTACGACTTCCCGCAGCTTCAATTATGTCAAATTACTGAGAATGGTCATATCACTGATACTGCACATTATTGTTTTCTACTGTTGCCTTTATGGCCACGTAATACGCTTAATAATGAGGGAGTCCCTTTGTGTGTTAACGCATTGAACATAATATCTGAAACTTTAAACCGAGGTTGCCTTTGCTTTACAGAGTGCGCTCCAATCAGCGCGGTTATTACGCTACGACAGTCACAGCTTTTTAAAACAATTAGTGATGGAAAGCGGCTGTTTAAATGCTGCCGTTAATATTTGCTCTGTGGAGGAACATTGGCAATGAGTCACTTTTTAATTTCAAAAAATGTAATTCACTGGTAACGTGCTGGGAACATAAAACCCAGTCAGAGGCCCAAGTTGAGGAGTTGAGGAGGCAGAGTTGCTCTCAGCAGCAGGCTGCGGCACTGCGTGGTGCCTGAGGTGTGGTGACATGATGCGAGCTGACAGATGGCACCATGGGTAATAGGGCTAAAACTCCCATCATGCAACCTGCTGAGGGGCCCCCGTCCTACCTCGCTGACCAACCAGAAGTGCACACCTTCTCCGCCCCGGCTTATTTATGACTACGCTGTAATTAAAAGCTGCAGGACGGTCACAGTTATGATAAAGCTTTGAGGTTTGGGGAAACTTAGAAGTGAAGCCAAAAGGCTGCGTGGCCACAGTATGTATGGTACTTTTGAAAGATCAGGATTAGCAGCAAACACAGATGTTGCTTAGTTTGGGACTAAAATGAGTCACTGTCGCAGAGCAGTTGAGCTCAGGGTAACTTGCCAGGAAGAAGTTGAGGAGATCTTCTTTCTGTTTAGCATATCGTTAGCCTCATAGCATAA